GGGGACAGTAAAGGGCTGGGGGGTGGGGAGGGTCCTCCTCCTTGAACCCCTGAACCCCCCCCGCCCCAATAGGTCATTGAGAGCTGGGTCACCCTGGTGACGCCTGGAAGGTCCTGGGTCACCTTCTGGAGCTTTGGTGGGACCTGGAGACTTGGGGCCCACCTGGACCTGGACACCTGGGTGACCCCTGAAAGGTCCTGGGCCATCTCCTGGACCTTTGGTAGGATCTGGACACTTGGGGTCCATCTGGACCTGGACACCTGGGTCCATCCTGAGACCTCTGAAAGGTCTTGGGTGACCTCCAGGACCCCTGGTAAGACCTGGACAACTGGGTCACCTCCTGGACCTGGGCACTTGGGTCCATCCTGAGACCCCTGAGAGGTCCTGGACACCCTCCTGGATGCCCTGGTCCACCATGTCTGGCCCACCTGGACCCTCCTGGGCCACCATGTCTGGCTCATCTGGACCCCTCCTGTGACCTTGTCCCCTCTCCAAGCCCCAGGAGCCCAGATCCCTCCCCATGTCCCACATCCCCCCGTTGTCGTCATGTGGCGACCACCCCCTGGTGGCAGCTCCTGCCCGGTGCCACCGCTGTGACACGAAGTCACCCTGGAGCCACCACCTGGGCCCAGCTTCCATTGTCCCCTGTGTCACCTCCGGGGGGGAAGGGACCTCCTGAGCCGTGGGAGGTGTCCCAGGAACGGTTGGAGGTGCTGAGGTTTGTCCAGAGGTAATCCAGCGGTCATCTAGGGGTTCCTCACTGGACGCGGTCCTGCCAAGGCCACACAAGGCAGGGCCTCAGCTGGTGCTGCTCTGGACAGGAGAGTGACACCAGGATCTCATCTCCACCAGGATCTCATCTCTACTAGGGTCTCATCTCCACCAGGATCCCATCTCCATCAGCTTCTGGCCAGAAGCTGATGGTTGGACCTTCTTCCATTGATTCCTCTGCAGAAGTTTATCTTGCCAGGACCCACCTCCAGTGAAATTCATCCTGCCAGGACCCACCTCCACCAGTTCCTTCATAGAATTTTATCCTGCCAGGACCCACCTCCATTGGAGTTCTTCCATTGAAGTTTATCCCACCAGGATGCAGCTCCCCAGCAGTCCCTCCCACCAGTTCCTGTCCAGGCATCCCCATTGTGGTCCCCAGGGAGGTGTGATGGCAGTGTGCCCACTGGCTGGTGACCAGGTGCGCCCTGCCCGTTGGACACCGGGCCAGCAGCCCCGGGGGACAGGTGTGGGACCTGGTGCAGGCGCTGGGCGACGGGGCCCTGCTGTTCCACCTGCTTAACGTGCTGCTGCCCCGCGCCGTGCCACCAAGGGACATCTGTCCCCGGCCACAGATGTCACAGGTGAGAGTCCCAATGGGGACAATGGGGATGGGGACATTGACTTGGTTTGGTTTCTGCTTTAGTGTGAGTGTGAAACAGGAATCCAGCTATGGAGGGCGGTGTTCCCAATGCCAGTAAGGAACCTCCAATTAGGCCCTCTTACCAGAAGGCTGTGGGAGACCCCATAAATATGTGTGTAAACTGAATTTTTTGTTAATATCCTTTAATACAACGGCCATCAAGTGGATGAAGGAGTCCAAGGGGACTTGTACTTTCCCTGAATCTGGAAGCTGTGTGAAACCTCTCTTGCCCTTGACTCCCTGGAGGTCTCTTCCTCATACCCCTAGACTTATACAGAAGAATCAACCCACTTGGGTACCTTTTCCACCTCACAGGATCCAAAATCAGGGGTTTGCCCCAGTCTGTCCCCATTTAGTTGTGGAAGATGCCCGTGGGCCAGACAGAATTAAAAGGATGGATTTATGTTGGAGATGACCTCCAAGGCCATCAAGTATTGCTTGATGAAACCAGAAGATGCAAAAAGGGAGATTTTTCTGAGGTCAGAGGTCAACAAATCAGCTCTCCACAAGGGATTTCGGATGTTGGGCTGTGGATGTGTGCAGGTGTCCACAGGGAGCCAGGAGGTTGTGGAGTCCCCCAGCCAGGTGTCTTCCCAACACGGATCACCGGCACCACGGATCACCGTGGCTCTGCCCGCTGGGGGTCACTGGGGATCATCCAGTGTGGATCCCATGGGGGATGGAGCTGGAGTAGCGCATGAAACTCTCCCTGGATGCGGGGCACTTGCAGGGCTTCCCTTAGTGCTGGCTCTGTTGGTGTCTGCTCAAGATGAAGCTCTGTGAGAATCTCTTCCCACACTCTGGACACTCATAGGGCCTCTCCCCGGAGTGGGTGCACTGGTGAATCACAAGGGTGGAGTTGTCCCTGAAGCCCTTCCTGCAGTCAGGGCAGCAAAAGGGTCACTCCTCCATGTGAATGTGCTGGTGCCTGACAAGATGAGAGCTGGTATGAAACCTCTTCCTGCATTTATCACACTCGTTGGGCTTCTTCCCAGCGTGGCTCCTGAGGTGGTAGACCAGGTGGGAGCGCTGACAGAATCTCTTCCCACACTCCCCACACTCGTAAGACCTCTCGCCAGTGTGGATCCTCTTGTGGACAATCAGGTTCGACTTGTGGCTGGATCTCTTCCCACACTCGGGAGACTCACAGGACTTCTCCTGGGTGTGCGTGTGCTGGTGGCTGACAAGGGAGGAGTTGTTCTTGAAGCCTTTCCCACAGTCAGGGCAGAGGAAGGGCCTTTCCTCTGTGTGAGTGCGCTGGTGCCTGAGGAGATCAGAGCTGGTCTGAAACCCCTTTCTGCATTTATCACACTCGTAGGGCCTCTCCCCGGTGTGGGTTCTCAGGGGGACAGTCAAGTTGCATCTCCGGCTGAAGCTCTTCCCACACTCCTTGCATATGTAGGGCCTCTCCCCCGTATGGATTCTCATGTGGCGGATAAGGTTGGATCTCTGGCTGAAGCTCTTCCCACATTTCAAGCACTTCTGGGGCTTTTCCTTACCTGTAGCTGCTCATGGATCCCCAGCTCTGAGCTCCAGCCGCCTCCTTGGCCCAGGGTGGGTCTTTCCTCCTCAGATCCCCATGATCTGCATTTGCAGCCCCTCCTTGTGAGAGATCTCCAGGGCTTTTCTTCCCTGTTGGATTCCTGTGCTGTGGAGCTGCTCAAAACAGCCTCTTCCACAAGGTTCTGCTGTGGGGATTTGTCCTCCCTGGTCTCTATCCTCAGCTCCTGGTCTGGGGGAGGAAGGACAAGGAGAGGATGGGATTTGCCTCCATGCCACAGGGAAGGGCAAGGAGATCCCCCCAGGACAGTGCGTCCCCTGTAGGACAGCTTTGGCAGCAGGGTTGTCCTGCAGCTGGGGGCCGTGCTGGGCTGGGAGATGGAGGAGGAGAGAGGGGGAAAGGGGCACTGACTTCCTCCTCCCCTGCCTGGGCCTCCTAGGCCATCTTCCTCTTCCTCACGACCTCCTCCTCTTGCATCAGGCTAAGGTTTAGAAACAGGAAATCCTGGTTTGGGGGAAACAAGGGTTGAGCACATTGGGTTTGATGGTTCCACTGCCTGTCTTGGTTTGAAAAGACAGGTGTCTGCTAAGGAAGGCAGGAGCCTCCCTTAAAATTGAAAATGTGAACCCCTCCCTCCAAATTACTATAATTTTGAAATTAAGGGGCTCTCAGGGAAAGATATGGAAATAGGAATAACAGTTCTTTGCTAGGAAAAATAAAATAAAAAATGCAGCAGTACCAAAAAAATCACTGTCAGAGTCTGAATCCAATCTGACACCCTGTTAATCAGGGTGTTTGTTGCATTCCAATTAAATGGTGGCTGCAGTCCTCCTGGAGGAGCAGATGTAGTTCTGTTGAGGCAGTGATCCTGCAGAAGGGTGCAGTTTTCCTCCAAAGGTCCAGTGGTGGTGCAGATGGGCCTGGTCTTCCTCTGGGAATCCAGTGGGAGAAGGCTACTTTGGTGTTCCAGATCTCTGACTATATCCAGTTAGGAATGCTTGGCTCCTCGCTCTTGGCAGAGCTTCTCACAATGGGATGATGTAATTTTATCAGTCATGCAGTAACACTCAATGGCCCATTAATTGAAGATATTCCCCTGGAGAGAGGTTGTGGGAGAGATAAAGAAAACTGCCCCATTTGGTTTTAACAGCTGGCCCACTAACAGAGGATATTCCCCCCAGAGTTATGAGGGATGGGTCATGGAAGAGATAAAGAGCACTGCTCCCCCTGGTTTCAACAGATGGTGATAGAATGCATACTGCTGGTTACATCTTGCATTGCAGCCTAAGACAAGGAGGAGCACAGACGAAGGGATGACACCAAGCAAGGGGGACACCGGGGGAGACACTGGGACGGGGGAGACACTGGGACCTGGTGTGACACTGGGCTGGGGGGCACATGGACCAGGGGGTGATCCTGAGCAGAGGGCACACCAGATCAATGTGACATCACTGGGTGACCCCAGAGACTGGGTGGCTGCTGAAGTGAGGCTTTTTTTTTTCCTCCTTTCCCTCCTTTTTCTCTTTTATCTCCCTCTTTTTCATCTTCTTTTTCCCCTTGTTTTCTTTTTCTCCATTTTTCCTTTTCCCTCGCTTTTTTCCTCCTTTCCCCCTTTTATCCCTCTTTACCCCCATTTTTCCCCCATTTCTCCCTCTTTCCCCCACTTTTCTTCCTTTTGTCCTCCTTTTCCCCCTTTTGTTCCCCAGCTCAGTTGATTTTCTTTTTCCCCACATTTTTTCTCTCAATTCCTCATTTCTTTTCCCCTCCCATTCCTCCTGCTCCTTGGTTCTTCTGGATTTCCATCAGATTCATGGTGCATGGAGCTACTCCGCCTTGGGTTTTTCCCTATTTTTGGGGAGGAATTTTGGGGCCAAATTCCATCTTTATTTTGACAGCAAATTTTAAAAATCTCTCTGCCCTTTGGTGGGTTTTGGTGACTTTTTTCCCCTCATTTTTTCTCTGTTTTTAATTGATTGTTTAAATAATATTTTAATTTCTTGCTCCCAGGGTTGTTCTGTTATTTTCCTGCTTTTTTTCCACCTCTTTTTCCAAGAGGAAGAGGCAGAAAAGAGGGAATAAAGGATGGAAAATGAGAGAAAAAGGGTGGAAAAGAGGGTGGAAAACAGAAAAAGAGGGCAGGGACTGAGAAGCTGTGATTATCCAGAGGGGATGCATTTTTTTGAGATAACCCTGAAGATTTGTGATAATCCCAGGAATGGACATGGATCATGTTGGAGATTGGGAATGGGCACGGATCACGTTGGAGACCAGGAATGAGCACAGAACCTGTTGGAGATTGGGAATGGGCATGGAACCTGTTGTAGAACAGGAATGGGCACAGATCCCATTGGAGATTTGGAATGGGCACAGATCCTGGTCTTGGAACTAGAGGAGGAATTTTAGGAAGTGAGGGGGAGGTCCCGCTGGCTCTGGGCAGTACCGGGAAAAGGCCCTGCAGGGATTACTTAGGAATTTAATTGGTAATTTCAGCCACCTTGTAAGGGGGGGATCCGAGGGGCTGGAGCAATGGTGGCAGTATCCGGTGAGAGGGCATGGGGATCAGGAACTGAACCAGGAATGGGGGCAGGGACAGGGAATGGGACTGGGAATGGGGACAGGGACAGGGAATGGGACCGGGAGTGGGGACAGGGAATCTGTACAGGGATGGGAAACAGTACCAGGAATGGGGACAGAGGCTGGGAATGGGCTTGGGAATGGGGACAGGGGCCGGAAACTGGGAGAGGGAGTGGGTATGCAGGATTGGGACTGGGAATGGGACTGGAAATATGTCATAAGGAGTGAAAATCCATAACCTGGAATGTGAATATGGGACAGAGACTGTGAATAGGACAGGGAATGGGGACAGGAACTGGAAATGGGACTGGGAAAAGTGACAAGGACCAGATATGGGCACAAGGACCAAGAATGGGGACAGGCACCAAGAATGGGAAGGGGAGGGGGGAGAAGAACAGGGAATGGGGACAGGGACTGACATTGTGATTGGGAATGGAGACAGGGACCGGGAACTGGGACAGGAACCAGGATTTGAAACGTGAATGAGGACAGGGACTGGGAACAGGACCAGGAATGGAGGCTGGGACTAAGAATACAGGACAGGAACAGGAAATGGGACTGGGAATGGGGGCAGAGATTGGGAATGGGACCAGGAATATGGACAGGAACTGGGACCAGGAATAGGGACAGGGACTGGTACCAGGAATGGGATCGGGGATGGGAACAGGGATCCACAATGGGGACAAGGACTGGGAATGCAGGACAGGAAGAGGTTACAGGACTGGGAATGGGGACAGGGACCGGTAATATGGGACCTGGATTGGAAATGGGACTAGAAAAGCAAGATAGGGACTAGGAATGAGATCAGTAATGGGGACAGGGACTGGGAATGGGACTATGGGAATATGGGACTATCCTGGGCTGTAAGATGTTTTTATTCTATTTCCCATATGTCAGAGGTGGGGCAGTTATCTTCTGTTAATTGGGCAGTTTACTTTATCTCTTTCACAACCCATCATCCCTCCAGGGAGATATCTTCTGTTAATGGGCCATTGAGCCTGACTGATGAAATTGCATCACCCCATTGTGAGATGCTCCACCCAGGGGGAGGAGTCAAGCCTTCCTACCTAAATAGAATCTGAAATTTGGAACACCAGAGTAGTCTTTTCCCATTGGATTCCCAGAAGCGCAGCCTTTTTTTACTGGATTCCCAGAGGAAGACCAGGCCCATCAGCAGTAACCTCAGACCTTCAGGTGAAAACTGCACTCTTCTACAGGATCACTGCTTCAACAGGACCCCATCTGTCCCTCCAGGAGGACTGCAGCCACCATTTAATCAGACTGCTACCAACACCCTGAGCAACCGGGTGTCAGGTCATATTCTGACTCTGTCAGTGGTTTGGGGTTTTTTTGTACTATTACATTTATATTTTTAATTTTCCTAATAAAGAATTGTTATTCATATTTCCATATCTTTGCTTGAGAACCCCTTAATTTCAAAATCATACTAAGTTGGAGGGAGGGGGTTTACATTTTCCATTTAAAAAGGCTCCTGCCTTCCTTAGCAGACACCTGTCTTTTCAAACCAAGACAGATTTTGGTGCACACCATGGGGCCCAAGTGCACTTAAAGTAAAAGAGGGAAAAAGGAGTAACAGTTCTTGAGTAACCTAATTTTTGTGTGCTGATACAGAAACCTCATTAAGTGTCACCATGTGGCCCAGCTTACCCTGGCTTGGGTGGTGTGATAAACGAGTCGACCAAATTTAAGAATTGTACAATAATCTTTATTATGCAAGCAAGAATAAGCAAGATTCAGCGCTGGGCGGCCAGGAGACTTTGCTCTCCTAGGTGCGCGCCTCCCCCCTTTAAAGTTCGCTTTTTATTGTCCTTTTTTTCCGGATTCCTGGATGACGTGGTCTGTTTTCTGCACGTGCTCCTCCTGTTGCTAGGGGTCTTTTTTCTGCCTTCTGGTGGTCGTGGGATGAAGGCCCCAAGTCTTCCTCTTTGGCAGCTTTCCTTATAAGGCATACCTATAAGTCTAATTTTTTTAAGCTCAGCATTCTTGCAAGGTTAATAATTGTTACCATATGTGTTTCAGAAAGTCTCCTACATCTATGGGGTAGAATTTTTGCAGAGCAAGCAATTCTACAAGGTTAGTAATTATTACCAGATGTGGCTGTATCTGGTTAACGGGGGGGATTTGTAACTCAAGCACTTCTTATAAGTTTCCCATACAGCCCTATAGATATTCTACAAAAGCTATTTAGCTATTGTTTTTTAATTTAAATCATCATCTAGCTATTAATGAACAAATATATTGTTACTTATTACAGGTGGCATGTGGTCGTGGCTATATTTCTCCCATTTGCAGGCTCTTGTCTAAAAATGAATCCTATAAGTAAGGCTTCTGTGGCTGTTCTGGTTTGCTTTATGGGTTAATAAGGTGAGGAATTAATGGATTTTTAACTTCCTCTAGAAAGCAGGCACACGGATTCAAGCTACCACACCCTAACTGTATGGTTTTGGGCTTACTTTAATATTGGTACCTACTGTAAAGAAATGACACTGGGGTAAAGGTTTTTTCCACCCTTCGGCCAGCTCTTTGGATCTGCCCCACCTGTTTTCAAAGAGTTCAAATCTTCTCTAAATGCTAATGATACCATATAGTTGTTGGTGTTGCTGATATGCCTGTTCTATTAAGCATTCAGAGATAAGGGAAGATTAACCTGGATAACTACCCTGACACCTACCTCAGAAAGTAGGGATGCTGCCCAAGAAACAGCCCCAGCCCCACAACCCATGTCAAAAATGAACCACACAGATTTGGTGGGGTTCTGGTGAAGGAGATACACGAGATGAGCCAGATGCTGAAGGAGCACATTTCCCCAGCTGGTGAGAGACCCCCCCCCCGCCTCAGAGAGAGAGAGAGTCTGATGGTGCAGCAGTGGAACCCACAGATGTTACAACCATCCAGGTTCCAGCTGAACTACAAAGGCAGTCACAGCCAGCAGCAGCCACCCCTGTAGAAACAAGGAAGTCAGAGATGAAATCAGAGTACCCAGGAGGTCCAAACCTTCTGGAAGGAATGCTTGGAAGAGCATTGGCTTTGCCACCAGCCCCAACAGGTGCTCCATCCCACTCCTCCTGTCCCTGACACGTGGCCTGCAAAGGAGCCAGTGCTGCCAGTGTGACCTGGGCTTTGCTGTGCACACAGGTTTGCAGTGCAGACCCTGAAGTCCCTGCTCTGCCAAAAGCAGTACAAGGATGTGGTGGTGTCAGTGGAAGGCAAGCGTGGCTGGGACACGCTGCTCTGTGCTGACCCCCGCCACTATGCCATGGGTCTGCTGGCCAGGTGAGACTCACTTTCTCCCCATTGATCCTGCCATTTGTGCTCTGTGCCCGAGCTGTCCCACACATTCCCTGAGCCCCTGGGACACACTGAGGGGCGGCTAAGGACACACTGAGGGACAGCCAAGCAGACTGGAAAAGGCTGCGAGGGGAGAGAGCACAGGAGGAGACACCTCCTAAAGGGCCCAGGCCCCCTTGCAGGGTGGTGGGTAAAGACTACCAGGCTCTGTAAGCCTGTCCTTGGAGAGATTTGCTCAG